ATTTTCTATTATTCACACCAAGTGTCCATGGCATTGCGTGCATACTCCAAGGTTGTATACTAATGCTTTTTTCCACAACTTTTTCAAAACCTTTGACACTATGAGATACACTGTTACTAAAGGAAAACTCTTGTAATTTCTCTTGCAGAAAACCACCTCCAACTTTTGATCCAAAACATTGTTTGTTGGTGAAATCTTTGAGAACATCTTCTGTCTTCATCACTGGTTGTATTTTACTTTTTTCAGTGTTCTCACCCCAAGCTACATTTTTATTAAGGCAAGATGACTGCCATCCCTATGGCTTATACTGAAAATGTGATAACGATTTTGCTGATGAGGACAAGGTGTCTCTATATGGCCCCCTCTGAGTTGGTGGAACATTCTCCTGATTACTCATTTGTCCTCTTGCCTTTAGGAAGCTTGAAGTACGCCGTAGAGCTGCTCCAAGACCTGCCAAATGATTATGCAATTAGATAACTAGTTTTACAATAACGTTCTTTGTAACTAAAATAAACAAAATGAATAATAATAATTAAAACTCAATTCTTAAACATTAAACAAAGTATAATCAAATATCCCTCATTATCCAAAATATCCCTTTACATAAATTTCACATACCTGCTAACTTCTGCTTATTGTTAGCCACTGACTGACCGCTGGTTCTCAGAGAATTGGACTGGTAAGGACCTAGGGCAGAAGTGCTCAGGCTCTTCTTCATCCCTGAGATTTGACTTTTGCCAGGTGTGATGTTTTTCCCAGGTGTGGTAGTTTTGCCAAAGCCCCTGCCTATAATCGTCCCTTTCCCTGGTGTGGTACCACGTGTAGGCGTTTTCTGTGGTGTCTTCTTTAAGATCCCCTTGACAGTCTACCGATGAAAATACTTGTCAGTGACATTCAAATATGTAATACCAAGCAGCTAGGTTAAGATAAATCATACATATTTTATATTTCCCTAAAACAAATATTCATACCTTACAAGAAACAAGCAATTCACATTTCAAGTATTATAGCTCACATTTTAATGCTGATATCTAATGCACCATTACATTTTTCTGAACAGAAGATGAATCTATACCGATAAACCTCCAATACAATATCCTTCAATGTATAGAATTCATGATGCATTTTTTAATCATTAGCAAAGAGCACACCCGATATAAAAAAACTAAAATACATGTATCATAAAAAAGACCTTTGTAGGTGGAGGCATGAGAATTTCACTGGCTGGTTGTACTTCCACAGGCTTGATGAGAGGGCTGTGCTGCTGTACCTCAAATGTCATCCTTCTCAACTGGTTACTACTTAGCACTGGCGATTTTAAAGTTTCAAAACTGCAACCTACGAAGAAAGATACTCCAATCAGTAACATTATTCCAGTAGTATCAGAGTGCAAAAATGGAATAAAAGCTGTACAGGGGAGGATTATTTTTCTTGCAATATACAAAACTGAGTTCAAAATGCAATAGTTGAGACAATAAATGGTTAATAGGTAAAACAAATAAATGTGCTGAACATCAGAAGTCTTAGCCCTACAGTAAAGTAATCAAAAGTGTAAAATGATTACGACAAAAGGGTTTAGATGTCAAAGGTCACAGAGTGCTTTAAAATATTATGGAAGTGAAAAGGGTTAAGAATGGAAGCAAATGGAGGAAGACTGGTATTAGTAAAGGGAGGAAGGGTTAGAGTATATGTCTAAGGAAGGATGAAGAATATTGAAAAAGCAATTACTAGTAATAGGGATAGAAATAGGTGTTAGGCAAGAAGTGTAGAAAAACATGTAAATAAATAAAAACAAACCTAGACTTGCTCCAATTGTGTCCTTAGGTTTTCCTTGGTCGTCTTCTACGCAAAATGTAGAGTCCAAATTAGAGGTAAATAACTTTCTCGAGGTTGTTTTCAAAGTTACTGGTTCAGGAAGCGATATGGCATCATTTGGGATATTCATATTTGGTAGCTTTGCATAAGTCTCCCCAAATGGTTTTATTTTATCTACAGCATTTTGGTTGTACATACTAGACTGAATTGTTGGCACCTCCAACTTGAGGGATATCACAGGTTTTATTGAACTCTCAGTACTTGTAGTACAAGAATTAGAAGCTTCACCAGCATTACTTCCACATGGTTTTGACACTATATCCATAGTAGTATTCAAGGCTGGATTTGAAGTAAGACCAACAGTAGCATTTGGAAGTGATGGCTTGGAGGTCATATCAATTGTTGTATTCAAAAAGGATGGCTTGGAGGATATGTCAACTGTTGTATTCAAAAGTGAAGGCTGAGAGGTCATGGTGGAATGCAGATTAGGCTTGCTTGTAGTCCTTATCAAGGATGGATTAGAACCTGATCCAACAGAGGTAGTAACAAGTGAAGGCTTTGAAACTTCAAGGGTAGTGTTTAAAACAGACTGTAGGGTAGATATGTTAATGGCTGTACTCAGTGTTCCCAGTGTAGATTTTTCCACAGTGACACTCTTGGTTGGTAAATCAACTGTAGTATTCAAGCCTGCAGCATTTGCAGACATATCAATTGTGGTGTTTAAAGTTGGAAGCCTTCCTGGCATATCCATTGTAGTATTTAAGCTTGGAAGACATGTAGGTATATCAACTGTTGTATTGAGACTCTTTGCTGGTGTTATAGCAAATGTAGCATTAATTGAGCAGTCAATAGGCTGAATGTCCTCTAACAATTCCGTTTTATCAAGGTTCACGCCCGAGTTTCTTGTGACATTGAAAGTATTAATACCACATCCTTCAGTCATGCTAACAAACCCAAAGTCTTTAGTTAGGCTTTTAGGTTCAACAGATTCACTCTTTTCAGGGGTTTGTTGAAAAAAAGGTGAATGAGGTACTGGGTTACAGTTCTCTGCCCGTTGTTCTTCTGATTTCACTTTGCCATCTTCACTTGGAAGACTAAAGCCAGAGAGCACAGGAGAATCAGGTATGGTATTTTGGATGTTCATTATTCTAGGAGTGATGGGAGAGTCGTGGATAAAGCTCTCACCCACACTCGACAAGTTAAGCCCAGATGGCTCACCCATGTTTAGAGTTGCTGATGGTAAAGCTGATGTACTCTTACTGGATTTCATAATCGACCTCCTGTAATAATAAAAAAGTTCACTTTAAATTGGCAAATATATACTTCATGTAAAAACTTGCTATATCCTTAACCCATTGGACCCGAATGACCTTGCGGTCACGTCATGGAAAAACTTGAGTCAAGGGGCAGGTGACACGGCAAACTGGCTGCGGCCTGGGTGACATGAACTTGCTGTCATGAGCAAAGGCATTTGGTGCTTAGAAGTGAGCTTTAGCATTTTTCCCATTGATAAACAAATGTAGAATGTAATGTGGGTAAGCAGTGACTAGAAGAGCGCCGGCTCCAAGTAGGATGCCATTTCCATGCTGTAAACCGTTTTCCTGGCTGCTGTGACAAATAACCAAATGTTCTAAATCCCCCCTCCCCCTTTTGCACTGAGTTATTTACTACATAGACAGAAGATATGGAGTCTGCGCAAGGAAAATAATCTATTACCATCTGGATAAAGCAAATAAAAAGACAAATATAGAAATTGGAAAATGGTGATAAAGCTAAAAAAGTTTACACAAAATAAATTTGCAAAGGGGAGACAGTCTTGTCACCGCTCATGGCTGTTCGTGTGCGGCTGGCCTATGTTCCACATGCCGGGATGTTGGCCGCTTATGTAACCCATTGCCTGAGTTTTCAACACCGTGATTTCCGTGACACAACCAGATCCAAAGGGTTAACTCAGTGAAAGGTTCTGTATACCTTTGTTATATTCTTATGTACAGTATCTTTCATGGTGATGAGTTATCATTGACATTTTGTATATCTTTAGCATTCTGGTATGTTCAGTATCTGACTTGTTGATAGGTTTTATGATCATTTAAGTGTCTACACTAACCTAAACATCTTCTGATCAACCATTGTAGCTGGGGATATGAACACACTGCTTGTAATCGGTAAGATGGTCAGGCGATTCACATCTAATACCGGCTCTTCTGGGAGACTGGATGCCTCCTCTTTATTTTCCTGGTGTTGATCTGCCCAAATGATCTTGCTTTCGTCCATTTTCTCTACAATACTCTGCCAAAAACATTGCAAAACAATTGTAGTTTTGTGGATATTATTCAAAATTACAATTTTTAAGAAATATGTCTAAGGTAACTTTAAATAAAACAATAGTACTATTACTACTACTACTGCTGACAAACACAGGTGAAGTTTTCATAACCAATCACTGTGGATAAGTGAGACTCTAGTCATGACTTAGAATAAACATGAACCAGAGTTCCACTTACCCAAAGAGATGGTATAATCCAGTATAAAATTTGGTTTGTCTATTCTATGTTTACATACAATTTTGTTGCTTTCCTATCTATTCTTGGTCCACACTGTGTTAAAGGACTCAGTATGGTGGATGAGTAGTTCTCTAGTCATGAGGGTAATTAACATGTACCAAAGAAATACTCATCCATTAACTGAACAATAACAGTGATGGAATGCTGGAAATCCATGCCATGAAGTCAAGATGCACACCTTTGCAGATGTAAAATGAAAATAAGTAGGAAAAAATAATAATTCAGATTTTTCCTCTTGTTATGCCAGTTATTGGGTGAAAGTTCTGTAGTCAAGAGACCTAGATGGTGGGATCCAATGCTGGCGCTCTACTTTGCAAGGACAAAGCTAACCTCACCCACCCACCACAAAGAGTAAAACTTAATGCACTTGCAGCATTGCTAACCCTCCTGTTAAAACAAAGGCACATCAAACAAAAAACGAATGTTTAGGAGAAAAATGGAGCAGGTCATTGAGTTGGAACTGCTGTGTTGTTCCTACTTAAAATACTTATTCTACAGATATCTTATAATCTACATATATATCACAGTGCATATTATCCTTATATCAGTATTTACTAATCACAAGTTTTAACACATTGATTTATTTACTTTAAAACTGTTGTTAAATTATTGTCAATTAATAACTGTGACTGCAATAATGAAGCTATCAAGAAGTTGCTAGTCAGCCTCTAAAAGGTGTATATAAACCCAAAAATCTGTTACACAAATGTGTAAAATGTATTAAAAGGACAACTAACCTCAAAGTACTTTTCCATCTCTGGTGTACATTGGTTACTAGCACGTAGCTGAACATAGAACTGTTTAGTGGTGTTCAGTAGCTGGCAAATCAGCTGTTCACTGGCTCTCTGTTCATTGAAACTTTCCTTCACCATTCCTCTCAAGTAGTCTGCCAGCTGGTGAAGGTCACGGTAAGCCAGCTGCAAAAACATAAAATCTTACACCTACCTGCTTTGTTCGATCAATTTATATACAAAATCATTTTGACTTATAACATTCATCTGATTTGGTGAGATTAAAGCATACTCAAGATAAAAATGAGAGCATACTTACACCAGTTTCATTCTTGTCAATAAGTGTCTGAGAAGCATGAGATGGTTGGCTTGATCCTGGTCCCCACTGATTCAAGGCTCTTTGAGCAGCATGAAGCTTTTCCAAGTTGGCATCCAGCTTGGCTTCAACAGTTTGCTGTAGTCTCTTTGTCTGGCTTAGCCTGATGCCAAGGTTACGAACAGTGCGTTCACACTTTGAGATACTCTGGCAAGATAAATAGAATATCAATATTTTATGAAAAGCACAATGCTATTATGACATTTCTTAATAATCCCTACATCAATCTGTAACTCCAAAATTGATTATAACTATAGCTGCACAAGCAAAGAAAGTGACAAAAAAATTTACATAGTGTAAAAATCATGTTCCAAGTGCCTAAGATCACTTTAGATAAAGGTTTCTCAACATTTGGAGTCTGGTGTCCTTTTCATACATTCATCCTAGAATTCTGACTACTTTATAAATATATGAATACTAATATATTATACATATAGTTACTCTTGAATGTGCAACTAAGAGTAAATTATTGTAAAATAATATATGTAATGAGAAATTTTGAGTTACATCAACATAGGCTCAATTTACATTTTCCTAATGCTGTAGCAGTAATTTCAAAGTCAAGAACCACAAATATGTAAAATGTTAAGTGACATACTTAGAGGATAACCATGACACATGTAGGTCATAATACAGTTTGAGAACAAATGCTCCAGATACTTGAATTTTAAGAGAAATGGTAATGGTTCTGGTTATTTTGTGTGTGCAACAGAATCCACAATACATGACTGTGCCTTCATTTACCAATTTTCCAACAAACATGTTTAAAGAAATTCAATGCCTAAAATTTTCAAGCCCTTCTTACCTTGTCCAGCCGTTGTGACGCAAAGGCAATGATTTTCATCCTGTTCAGACGCATGGTACAGGTATGGATTTTGAGCTCTACCTCCCTCTGTGAACTTTCTAACTGCAACATCTCTCGTCTGAGTGCTTTCCTCTCACTGCTGGCTTCCACAAGCTTTCTCTGGATTTCAGCTTCTTCCTCTGATACCTCTGTTACCACACCACTCTTGGCTTTTAGCTCCTAGGGGAGGGTAATATATTTTCTAGAAATAGGGTACATAAATAATTTCATTCTTTATCAACATTTCTAAAGACCTGTCACTTGGAATCATGATACTGGTCGAGGAGATTCTGGATCTTCAACTTTAAAGCAATATGAAAAGTAATCATTTTGAAGGCACTTAGCAGAACTTAAATCTTATAGTAAAACTACTTTTTTTTTTTTTTTTTTTTTTTTTTTTTTTAATGAATATCTTCATAGTGGTAATTACATGACTTTTATAATTCAAACACCAAAATAATAGTGTTTCCACCCTACAATTTGATTCTTATCAACAATAAAAGTGTTATTAGGAAACTAGATATCTGCAAGGAGTGAAAAAACCTGATCCAAGGATGTTGATGTCAATGTGTATAAATGTAGTGAGAGATTGGGTGTCTAAAACAAAGCACTTACCATAATTTCATTTTCCATGCTAGCTATTCGGCACTCATACTCCTTTTGTTGCTCAAGCAACATACTTGAATCCTGATCTTTAGATTCTGAAATCTCTTTCAGGGATATCCATTCCTTCTCCTTCTCTTCATATTTTTGCACCTGGAAGACAAATTTTACTTAGTTATTCTCAGAATCCTTAAAATAACTCGCATGCTTTTATAAAAATAAGAAATATTTGAATTTAATATTTGAGCTTATGTAAAATATACAATGCCTAGATTACTAAACTCATTATTACATCAAAACCAGGGTCTTTAAATCATAAGCATGATCCAACTAATAAACTACATTAAGAATTTAAACTGTTCTTCACTTAGAACTTGTATTAGCCCTGACATTTCTTGAAGATGCCTAGGTTTTATAATTTTACATAATCTATAAACAAAAAATATACACATAAAATGGGTGCAACAAGGCACTTACCTTTTCCTTTAGACTACATATTTCTTTCCGTAAATCATCTACTATCTGGACATACTGTGAAACATGTTGATCTACATTCATGATGTTCTTCTTAAGCTGAAAGGAAAATACAATTAATTAGACAGGCCAGCCTAATATTACACAAATACAAATAAGCATTTACAAAGTTTGTAGGATATTTGTGGAATGACAAAAAATCTTAATTCCCTTAAAAAAAAATACTCTGATAGCCAACTACTGTTTATCGTACACTAAGAAACTCAATACCTCAACATAAATACTTACGGTAGTTTTTGAGATTAGTCTTTGGCTCTGTTAAGCCATAACGAAGAGTGTTGAAAGTGTACCTATACAAAGGATGGGTTGGAAGGGCCAGGAGATAATATTAAGCAGCTAATCATAACACTTAAAGCGACAATTTATCCCCAATAGATCCTTCAGGAACTGAGTTCAAGTTTGCTGTCTCCGATAATGATAGAATAAGATTGTTATCTAGTCCATCATGCAAGTTAGCATTGATACAAGTTTTGCCTATATAAGATAAATACAAAGCTTTTATTTTTAGTATATATAAATATATTCTGTAATATTGTTATAGTCACAACACTTAATAGGTAATTTATATGTAGAACAGTTCAAGAAACATTAGGGTGGAATCCATTATTAAAAAATAAAATAATCCTTCCATAATTATTATACTCCATTATTTAAGCATTACAAAAGTATTTATATATAATACATTTCAGAGTTAATACAACCCTCCCCATCAATTGATACAAATTCTGTATCGTGATATAGTATATATGAAACTAACCTAATGTTATACTATACAAATATATCAACCTCAAAAGAAATTCTATAATTGGCAGGAATACTAACATCTAGCGCCAGCAGGAGACTATATTATATATATTAGCACCTATTCCCTGAAATCTTCTCACATCATAAATCCAGTGCTAGAACTACGTTCAGACTCACAGTACAAAATCAAATCATTGAGAGATAATTATTGGCAATGGCCACTATTTGATTTTATACATTTGCTTGTATCGATCTTGTGGCGCACAAATAATTACTGGGAGATTAAAATATATTCTTACATATATGTATACATTATATGAAATGCTAGACAACACCTATGTATTATATCCGACATATAGTCGTATATAAGTGAATTTAGTATATATATATATATTATTATATAAAATATATTAAGGAATTACAGAAGAAGAATAATATATATTATGTATATATAATATATATATATATATATAATATATATATATAATATATATATACATATGTATATATATATATATGATATGTATATATATGAATATATATATATATATATATATATATATATATAATATAATATATATAATATATATATATAATATATATTTATATAATATATATATATATATATATATATATATATATATATATATATATATATATATATATATATATATATGTATATATATATTATAGTATATATTATATATATATAATATATGTATATAGTATATATATATATATATAATATATATATATATATATATATATATATAATATATATATATATATATACATATATATATATATATATATATATATATATATATATATATATATATATATATATATATTATATATATATATATCATATATATATATATATATATATCGGTCTTCCTCACTCTCATATAGGAAATTATTGCCATCATCTTAAATCTTGGATCGAACTTATTAACATTATGGAAAATTGCAAATTACCGATCGCTATCGACCTTATCTATATGAAAAATCGGTCGAAATACTTTTAAAAATTAAATATTCATAATTTTGTTTCCTTTTTCATGGCCAAATTACTGAGCTGAACCGAAAGAGAGAAGAAGAAGAAGATGATGATAATAATGATGAAGGTGAGGATGAGAAGCAAGAAAAGAAAAGAAGAAGAAGATGATGATGATGATAATGAAGATGAAGATGAAGAACAAGAACGAAAATGAAATAAAAGATGATGGTGAAAAAGAATAACAAAAAGAAGATAATAATAATGAAGATGAAGAACAAAAAAAGAAAATATAAGGAAGATGAAGAAGATGGCGATGATAAATAAATAATTGATGATAATGATAATTTTAAAAAATCAATCTGATGATGAACATTAACAAGAAGAAAAATAAACAAGAAGCAAGGCGAAGAGAAAGAAAAAACAAAAAGCGATAAGAAAAAGAAAAAAAAGAAAATATCACAAGAATTTAATTTCTAGAATCATAAAGTCATGACGAAGTTGGAAAAATAATAATCCCTGGAATTAAATTTTGACAGACTGATTACTATTTGTCAGTACAAGAGATACAGAACATAAAGATACATTAATTTCATATTGTTAAAATTATGAAATCAGAATTTCAGGTTGTGGCAGATAAATTATATTACGATAAAGTATTATGATAATAGTTTGATAATTATTGTGTTCTCTCTCTCAATCTTGTTTTTTATTAACATTATTTCCCATGTGTTCATTTATTTATGTATTTTTGTGTGGCTCTTTCTCTTTCCTTTTTTCTTTGCTTTTGTCTCTTTCTCAGTCTCCTGTCTCTCGCCCTTAGACTATATTTAGTAATTTGTTTGTCTGTCTGTCTATCTCTATATATATCTGGCTATCTGTTATTTTTATTTCTCTCTTTCTCCCTCTCTCTCTCTCTCTCTCTCTCTCTCTCTCTCTCTCTCTCTCTCTCTCTCTCTTCTCTCTCTCTCTCTTCTCTCTTCTCTCTCTCTCTCTCTCTCTCTCTCTCTCTCCTCTCTCTCTCTCTCTCTCTCTCTCTCTCTCTCTCTCTCTTATTCTCCGTTTCTTTCTCTTTCTTTCTTTCTCTCTTTCTCTGTCTCCTCCGCCTCTTTCTCTTATTCCTCATTTCTATCTTCCTTTTCTTCTTTCTCTTTTTCTCCCTCTACCTCGTCTCACATTTTTTCTTTTTCCTCTTTCCCTCCCTCTGCTCTTTTCTCTTCCTTCTCCTCTTCCCTCTTCCCTCTTCCTTCTCTTCCTCCTCTCTCTCTTCCTTCTTCTTCCTCATCTCCTCTTCCCTCTTCTTCTTCCACTTCCTCGTTTCCCTCTTCTCTCTTCCTCCTCTTCCTCCTTTCCCTCTTCTCTCCTCCTCCTTTCCCCTTCTTCCTCCTCCTTTCCCTCTTCTCCTCTTCCCTCTTCCCCTTTTCCCCCTTCCCCTTTTCTCTCCCCTTCTTCTCCTTCCCTCTTCCCTCTTCTTCATCTTCCTCCTCTCCCTCTTCCCAATTTCTTCCCTCCCTCCTCCTCCTTCCCTCTTCCCTCTTCCTCCTCCCCCCCCCTTCTTCCTCTTCCCTCCCTCTTCCTTCCTCTTCCTCTTCTTCCTCCTCCTCCTCTTCTTTCTCCTTTTCCCTTTTTTTCCTCTTCCCCTTCTCCCCTCCCCCTTCTCACCCCCCCGATCCCCAATTGCCGAAACTTACAAAATCCCAAAAGACTTAAAACATAATAATGAACAATGAATTTGACGATATAATACACAAGACGATTATAAGCATTGAAGACCAACTAAATAACAATGTTTAGATAATGACCCTTTTTTCCCCTTGACATTGACGCGTTGATGGTACTAATTATGCACTGATTATGATAATGATAATAGAGGGTGTTTTTTTTTTTTTTTTTTGGGGGGTAGGAGGGGAGGGGGAGGGGGATGGGTGGGAGGGGAGGGAGAGGAGGAAGATGTTATGAAAAAAAGGTGGGGTGGTGGTGGTGGTTCGTTGGTGAGGGTACGAGGAGGAGAGCGATAAAAAAGGGAGGTAGAGGGAGATGGAGATAAAGAGAGGGAAAGGGGGAGTGGGGGGGGGAGATAGAGGTCGGTAGATGTGGGTTGGAATTGTTTGTTTGTTATCGTATCTATTCGTTTATCGGTCTTTCAGTCTGTCTGTCTGTCCCTCTTTCTTTCTCTCTTTCTTCCTTTCTGTTTCTCTCTCTCTCTCTCTCTCTCTCTCTCTCTCTCTCTCTCTCTCTCTCTCTCTCTCTTCTCTCTCTCTCTTCTCTTCTCTCTCTCTCTCTCTCTCGTCTCTCTCTCTCTCTCCTCGTTCGCGTTGTAAGGAATATAAGAAAACAAAAATAGAAAAGAAATAAAGATGTGAGAATAATTACGGATGCATTAAATAGATCAATAAAAATGAGAACAGAAGTAAATACGGATAAATGGAAAGAGAGGAAAAGATGGAGATGTGAAGAGAGAGGTGAGAAGATGTAAAGGGTAAACGGAAAGAAGGAAAGGGAGAATGAGATATTAATGAGAAGATATGTGACTCCAAGGAAAAAATAAATGAAAATGGGAAAAGAGATAGATGAATAGATAGAGAGAGAGAGAGGCAGGCAGACAGACAGACAGACAGACAGAGAGATAGAGAGAGAAGACAGACAGAGAAAGAGTGAGAGAAGAGATAGATAGATAGAGAGAGAAAGAGAGAGAGATAAGTGACAAGAGAGAGAGAGAGAGAGAGAGATGAAATAGGTGGAGAGAAAGAGAGAGAGAGAGAGAGAGAGAGACAGACACAGAGAGAGGGGAGAGAGTAGAGAGAGAAACAGAGAGAGAGAGACAGAGACAGAGACAGACAGAGAGAGAGGGGAGAGAAACAGAGAGAAAGAGGGAGAGACTGCTGAACATGTTTAAAGGTATGAGATTGCTCGTGCGCAAAGATGTGAGGAGAAAAAATGATAAAATGGGATTGAAGGGGAAAATAGAAGAAAATAAGTAAGTAACTAAACGAGAGAAAGAAAGAGAGAGATAGAGATATTTAGATAGATATATAGATAGAGAGAGAGAGAGACAGAGAGAGAGAGAGAGAGAATGGGAAATGAGAGAGAGAGAGAACGGAAAATGACAGAGAGAACCAGATTAATAGAATTATTGACAAAAAGAGAGATAGGGAAGAAAAGATGTAGAACTGTCTAAATAGTGAAAATACAAAACAAGGATTTATTTCAATGAAACGGTTTTTAACGATTACAAAAACTCCTCCCCTCCCTTCCCCTCCCCCCTCCTTCCCCTCCCCCCTCCACATCCACC